TCCGACTCGATGGCACCTGACAACAACACAACAATGGATTTTTGCTGGATTTAACTAGCTTCTGTTGGTCATGTGCGTCACCACTGTTTTCAGATCTACCCTAACCTCTATTTATTATTAACATAATATTATCAATGTAATGTATCACTGCACTTGAGATGTGCACCAAGCCCAAGTCTCTTCCAACCATACTATGACAGTAAGTTGTTGAGTTTAAATAACTCTGGGGCAAAATACTGAAAATGTATTGAGATCTTTCTCACATGAAAGCAAATTGTGGCTGGCCCTTTTCTGAAGTTGGGATAGAGAAAAAGGCATTTATAAGATATATCACTGAGTACCAATCTCCTTCAGCCTGCTGTATTTTCTGCACTATTGATCCAATGTCTAAAACAGCTGAAGCCACAAGAGGCTCTACTTTATTTAGACCTCAATAGTCTACTGTTGGAGTCCTAGGCTGAGTCCAGAGCTCAAAGCTGTTCTGTCTTTCTATGCCTCTGCCATCACCTCTGCTGTCACTGCTTTTCTAGGTAGGGATCTCATGATCCCCTCATGTTCTTCCTTCTTGCTGGTCCTGGGATCATCTATTCCTGCTTCTGAGATGGCTTCTTTTAAATCTAGCTGGATGGTAAAACTAACCAATCTCAGCCTTAGAGACCTGTACTCCTTATTTGCATGGTCCCATCTAATCACTTGTTAGAAATTAAGACTTTTGATAGAAAAACCATATCAAATGTATTCAAGGTACCACAACTGTATAAATGTCTCAAGTGTGCAACTCCATTGAAGTAGATGGGTGTCTCCATTGGACTTGATGGGTGTGGCACCAGTGTGTGTGGGGGTTAATACTGTTGTTTGGGACCCTCAATCAACTAGTTTTGTCACTGGTTGGGATCTTAGGACTGCCTCTAGGAATCTGTGTGTGCAACATACTTTTGGGGGTTGTAGCTCTTGAGATATTGACAGGGCAGACCATGTGTATGTGTGTGTGTGTGAGGGACTTATACTGCTGATCTGTGGGAGAGTGAACAATGTCTATATATCTTCTTGTTGTTGTCGTTAGGTGCCATCGAGTCGGTACCAACCCATAGCAACCTTATGCACAGCAGAATGAAACACTGCCCCATCCTGGGCCAACCTCACTACTGTTGCCACGCTATCCATCTTAGGGTCTTGTTTATGCACTGTTTATTTTCTAAAGTCTTTTCACAGTAGACTTGACAAGTTTTCTTCAAGAGGAATACCTAAAACAACAATTGTGAAGACACAGCACTTTTAGAGAATGTTTCACTAGACTTCTGGGTCCATGGCTTGTCCAAGTCAGGCTCTTGGTGGTAAAAACAAATTCCCTTAAGCTTTTTTAAGAAAAAGAGGGGCCAGCTCCTGGACCTGGGCTGGCTGGAAATGGGGCTGTTCTGGGATAGGCATGCTCAAGTTCTATCCTGGCCAATTGTGGTGTATTTTCCAAATACCATGAACCCTTTTCCTCCTTGCCTCATAACTTTAGTTGTTCAAAGTCCATCATGGCTGCCCCACCTAGTTTCTTGACTTCATTACTGACCAGTTTCTGCCCCTGCTGTTAACTTGCTCTGTCTATTTCAGCACTCTAGTTCTGATTCCTGAGAGAAGGAATTTGATTAGACAGCCTATCTTTTCATGCTAGGATACTGACTGGTTCCGAGTCTATCTGTTGATCAACAGCCCTTGGATAAGGTACTGAATCGCTTTGAGGAGTGTCGAAAGGGAGCCATGGACTCTTGGGCCTTGGCGGGGAATGGCTGCCCTTTTCTTCCATACTTCTGGAAGAAAAAGGGCCTCGTGTGACACATCTTTTAGGAATGCTAGTTCTTCTTGCCTTCATAATGGACCCACTCTTCCTGGTGCATTCTAGTGAGAGAAAGGCCTATGACTGTGATCTGCCCAGAAAGGGGAGGAGAAGGATATAAGCTCAAGACAAAAAGAAATTAGAGACTCTCAGTCCTTCAAAGACTTAGAAAGGGTGTGAAAGACATTGAGTCAATCAACCCATACCTCTGTCACACCCAAACCATGTCATTCTTAAACATTTACCTGAGCCCCTTTCCAAAACCCTGGCTGAAGAGAGAAGCTTAGTGTTCTTTAGTGCAATGTTTCATCCCCTTCACCATATGAACAATTCTCTTTCATACCCAGCTCTTAGAGAATTGGAGATGGTTGGGTAGAGGATGGGAAGGAGATATGAGGTAGCTTTATTCCTTCAGCAAACAACTATTGAGATCCTAGTAATAGCTATCATTTATGATGCACTTAGTATGTTCCAGACACTGTACTGACAAAATTATTTCATTAAACTTCTCAACGATCCCATGGAGCCAATATTGTTAAACTCGCTATTTATAAAAGGCACAGAAACTGCATGAACTCACTACATGTGCACAGGGGCCATTCTGTGTGCTTCACAACCTTTTGAGGACCGCTGAGAAAATATTTCACAAAAAGAAAATCCTGAATAAAGAATCTATTAAAATTACATGTAAAATGAAATAACTGCAGGGTTTCTCTTGAGGTGCTTTGGTTTTGTATTGGTGAGAGGGGAGGGGAGGGAAGGGGAGAGGAGGAGAGGGGATGGGAGGGGGAAAGGGAAGGGGAAGAGAAAACAATGTGACCATCTGAGTAAATGCCAGAGAGAGGGACCCAGCAGATCTTCAGTCAGTTGTTTAATCTCTGACCCCTAGTGGAAGCTGAATAATTGCTTCCACAGGGAGTCCCCAAACTTCACAGAGTCAGCAATTACTTTAAAGGAATTTTTCTATGAGGTTGATCATAGAAGAAAATATGTCTCATATTTTCTTTCTTTTCACTGAAAGTTGAAAGAAAAGGACAGATGATAGTCCATATTTGGCGGAGAACTCAGCTTTGGAAGGCAGAAAAGCCTGTGACATCCACCAGGTGGCACCAAATCTCCAACACCATCAATACAACTATTCCAAGTAGGTCACAACCTTAATATAAAAGACAGGGAAATGGAGATGGCCATAAGACATGCATTGGCTTGAGGACAGATTCAAAGTCATGTAACAAGCACTGAACAAGAGAGTGCACACAAATAATATAATGCTGGGGCTCAGAAAGAAGAGGGGTGGAGCAGGTGAAATTAATTAGGGAGTCCCTGTGTGGCACTGTAGGATAAGCACTTGATTGCTAACCGCAAGATCCCACCAATTCCTTCTCAGAAACTACATAGGGTCACTGAGTTGGAACCGACTACGCGGCACTTAACAAGTAACTATTGGATGGTGCTGCTGAATGAAGCAAAGTGGACAAACTGGTTTTAAATCTGGATTCTGAGGGGAGCAATTCCCTGAGCAAACAATACTAGGTTCTTCTCTGTAGTAGCAGACACTAGGTACTCAAAGATGACAAACTGAGACCCTACATCAGAAATAAAGACAAAGCCCAAGGGGTAGAGGCCTGAGAAGCCTGAGCTGAGTGGCTATGAGAAGGTGTGGTGGAGTCTTGAGGAACTTGAGCAAAGGCTCTTAAGCTAGCCTGCAAACTTTAGCTGCCCCACAACGTCCCCCCAAGTCTTGGTCCGTTCTCACCAGTCTGTCCCACAATAGCTACTTGTGGTTCCAATGAACATGCCAGTGTTGTTCTTTCTGGGAGCCACAACCAGCAATGTTCAAGGAGCCGAGGAGGACTCTTCCCCAAGCCCAACCTACTCTTTGCCCCTGTGCCCCACGCCCTAAACCATTCTCAGGAATTGGGGTCAGGTCTGGTTCCTAACCCCTATTCCCAGCTGTTCTCACTGTGCTCAGGGAACGCTTGTTCTAGCACTTGTCTTGCACAAGCCTTCATATTAATGACATTTTATTCTTCAAAAGAAAACTTGTAATTATAATTTTAAAAGGTATTTATCATCTAGGTTTCAATTCTTTTCTCTAGGCATTTTAATTTCAAAAGTGGCTGGAATGTAAACGGGCAGGAAGGGTCACAATAAGTGAGAGGAGCTGACTGCTGGTGGTCTTTAGTCTAGAATCAGGTACGGGTTGAGAGCCTTCCCACGCAGGTTCTTCATCTCCTCAAACACCTTCTCTCCTGTCTTCTCAGGTAGGTGTGCTTGGTCTTTCACCTCTCTAAATATCAAACACCCAACAAGAGACATGAAGGGAATTAGTAAAATGTTCTGGAGTCCTGGTGCGGTGCTGTGGGCTAATGTGTTAGGATGCAAAGTTGGTTTGAACCTCAAAGTTGGCGATTTAGTCTCACTTGCCACTCCTTGGAAACCCTATACAGGGTCGCTATGAGTTAGTTAGAACCCACTCGATGGCACTTAACAATAACAACAGTCACTCACAATGCCCTTTGCCTGTGCTCAGAATGGCCTGTGATAGTGAAGTTTGGTGGAGTTGCTGTTGTTGTTTTTTAATTTTATTAAATAAAATATGGTTTTAAGCTATAATTACAGTGAATAGACTGAGCTTGTAAATTATACAAACCTGGCTTCTAATCTCAGCTATGCCAGTTTATTAGCATGGACAATTTATGTAAACATTTATAGTCTCTCTCTCCCAAAGCCCAAGCAAGCCAGTCTAGTCGATTCCAGCTCATAGTGGCCTCATGTGTGTCAGAGCAGAATGGATGGTTTCTCAGAAACAGATCAACAAGCCCTCTTCCAACGTGCTTATCAGTGAACTTGAAGTGCCAGCCTTTCAGTTAGTAGCTGAGGACTAAACCATTTGCACTCCCCAGACACTTTGCTGATGTATAAATGGTGATCATTTCTGTTTCCTAGCATTGTTATTATGGTAAACTGAGAAAAAATTCATAGGGATTTAGAAGTATATTTTCTTCTTAATGCCTCATCAGCACTAGTTGATTTCCCATTTTTATGAAAAAAAGGTGTGGCTCATTAGGATAAGCACTCCACCTCAACTGCAAGGTTGGTGGTTCAAACTCACCAGCCTTGCCTCGGAAACCCTATACAAGGTTGCTCTGGGTAGGAACCAACTCAATGGCACTTAACAACATCTCTGACTCTGTCAATGACTCCAGAGAGATGGTGGCTGAAAGGGAGGGCTATGCACCTGGGTTGATGGATGGGTGTGCATGTGGGCTCTAGGGTAGAATGCCAACATTGTTTCTGTAGTATACTGTTGTTGTTGTTGTTATGTGCCGTGGAGTCGGTTCCGACTCATAACAATCCTGTACAGGGTTTCTGAGGCTTTACAGGAGCAGAAACCTCATCTTTCTCCAGCAGAACAGCTGGTAGTTTCGAACTGATGACCCTGAGGTTAGCAGCCCGATTCGTAACCACTATGCTAACGTAGTATAAGGAGTGAAAAACCACTTTCAGGTTATTGTTGTTGTTAGGTGCCATCGAGTTGGTACTGACTTATAGCAACCAGAACAGAATGAAATACTGCCTGATCCTGGGGTAAGTGCAAGCAAATATAGAAGTTCTGGACATAAACTTTGCTAACAGAGCAAGCTATTCTATGTCCAGGGGTAATTTCTGATATATAAAAAAATGGGGTAGTTATTTAAAACTCGAAACTTGAAACAAAAGACAGAGTGGATCGAATTGTTCAGCTATAGGAGGAACTGTGTATTATGCGTGTGACCAGATATTTTATTGAAGTAATTAACTGTTCAAAGTAGATGCTTACTGAAATACTGTTTGTTTGTTTTTTTTAACTCTTTAAACTCTCTTTTACCAGAATCTCTTAATTTTTGAGAAGTGTCGGTTGTTGAAGGCCTCTGAAGTTACGAGATGAGACAGAGGAACCACATACTATACTCTAGGATACTGGGCGTTTCTTTCAGAAAAGGTGCCCAGCCAAAACAAACAAACAAACAAACAAACAAAACCCTAAACAAAATTAGAAGACAAACTGAGAAAACAAATTTGCTACCAAAAAGAAAGGATGATTATCCTTAATGTATGAGGAACTCTTACAAATAAATAAGAAAAAAATATAAACAGGCAAAAGATAAATAGGCATTTCTCACAAGAAGAAAAATAGCTAATAAGCATAGAAGACTTTAAAATATCACTGGTAGCACAGAAATGAATATTAAAACAAGCAGGTCATGTTTGAATCATATTGGTTAAAAAAACAGATGGTAGTCCATGTTTTCCAGATGTTTGAATATAGATACTCTTTTTCATATTTAAATTTATTTGTTGAGAATATATACAGCAAAACATATTAACGCAACAGTTTCCACATGTGTAATTGAGTGACATTGATTACAATCCTCAAGTTGTAAAACCACCTCACTTTCCTTTTCTGTGTTGTTCCTTCCCCGTTAACATAAATTCACTGTACTCCAAGTTTCCTACCAATCTTCTGAGTGGCTGTTGTCGATTTGATCCCCTATTGATAGCTCTTAAAAGAGCATAATGCTCAAGGCAGACATTTTTATTAATTAAACTATTGTTTGATTTTAAAAGACTTCAGGAAATAATGTTTAGTTTAAGGTTTAAAGATTTATCTCTGGGCAATAATTTCATGGATTCATGTAATTTTCATGACTCCTGGAAGTCTGAAGTTCCTGAGACTTCTTGATTCTTTTCTTACCCCCCCCCTTTTAATAAGGATTATTCTTTAGAATCTTTGATTAAAATGTTCAGTAATGGTGGTTGGGCACCATCCAACTCTTGTGTTTTCATGGCAAAGGAGGCAGTTGTCCATGGAGGTGATTAGTCACCCTGAATGCAGACACTCTGCCTGCTGTTACGCTGATGTACTTTCAGGATAGCAATCAGCTATCTACAGTAAAATCTTAAAATGTGCACTGATCTGTTAAGTTTGCAGAAAATTTTGGCAAAATTTATAACTTAGTAAGATTATTTTTTAATTTCATTCTTTATATTTTTCTGTATATTTTGACTTTTTATTAATAAAAAAGCCATTTTCTTTTAAATGAGAAAGTGTTTCGAAACTATTTTCAACTTATAAAACATATGAACTATAGGGGGTTATTTAGATTACAAAAGAAGTCTTAAAAAGCCAATCTTTTTGATGACTATGAAGCTAGTTAGTCCTGATGGAGTGAGGAAGGAAAGAAGTAGTAACATTTGCTGAGCGTCTAGTTTAGATCAAGCAGCTTTCTAAATGGCATCTCATTGAAGCTTTACAACCACTTGATGAGATTTGATGGTCTGCATTTTAAAGATGAGGAAAGAGGCCCAGAGAAGAGCAGGCATTTGGCGTAAGAGCTCAGATATGATAAATAGTGGAGCTGAGAATCAGTCCTAGATCTTGTCTGGCTCCAGAGTCTGGGTTTCTTAGACTGAATGAAACTTGATCAACTATTATTATGAAATAGACACATCTCTGGAATTAAATTATAGGAAAATGGAAAAATTTGATTTGGATTTAAAAGTTTAGTTAACAACAGTATTTGAGGGAGTACAATGTGCATTAAAAAAAAAAAAAATATATATATATATAAAATATCCAAGGCATTGGAAATATGTTTCTAAATCTGAGATATCAAGATTCAGACAACACAACAGTTTTAGCGTTTATGTAAGATAAATTTTGTCCAAGCTTACCTCTTAATAAGGCATAAGGACACCCACTTACTTTTCCTTCTTGGTGTCTTTGTGGTCCAACATTGGAAATTCCACCTGGATCATTTCTGGAGTCAACATAACATCTATATCCTGTTCACAGAGCTCACTGAAAAGGAATAGGATGTTTAGCTGTAACTGTTTTATCTTTCCAAAGTAAAAATAGAATGAAATATTGGGATAATTTAAGAGTTATATAATTCTTTGAGTTTTCAACTGTAGTTCCATCTACTTTTGTTGAGTCTGTAAGTAAAGAGAAGCAGAAGGCTGCTTTCCACCAACAAACAGTGTTAGAAATAACTATTTATAACCAGAAAATAAAAGGCAATTTTTAAAAATGGAGTTACTAAGAGAGGGAGAGCAACTGTGTGCTGAAGACCTGGGGGGCACAGGGGAAGGATTGCATGGAGGGGACTGTAACCATGGCAATGAGACGATATGTGATAGAATGAATGTAAAACTAATGTTCTCCCATGTAAACTGTCACATAATTCACAATAAATCATTTAAGAAAAAAAAAAAAAGAAAAAAATGGAGTTACAGAAGTCACATTCTTTTCAAGTGCACATGGAACATGTACCAAAATTGACCAGATCTGGAGCCATAAAGATAGCTTTAAAAGAATGATTTTCAAAAAGTTGAAATCATTCAGAGTATGTTCTCTGGTCACAATGGTATTAGAGTAGAAATCAACAGCACAAAGTTAACTATAAAACCCATAAATTCTTTTAAATTAAGTCATATATTTCTAAATAACCTATGGGTCAAAGGAGAAAGCAACTAGAGATTAAAAACAAATAAACTAACAAAGCATACTGTCAGGGGCAATGCTGGGGCATTTCCATCCCCAGATCAGCCCTCATCCATATATCACAGGATGTTAATGAGTCTTCTTCCAATCCTGATGCTATGTTCTTCATAACATAGTCAACATTCTTATTTATTTGCTCAGCATACAGATTGAGTAAGTATGGTAAAATGATACAACTCTGGCACACACCTTTCCTGATTTTAAACCATCAATATCCTCTTGTTCTAACAACTGCCTCTTTGTCTATGTACAGGTTCATCTACAATCTTGCTTGCTGAAAGTGAGGAGGATTTGAAACACTTACTCATGAAGATCAAAGACTACAATTTTCAGTATGGATTACACCTCAGCATAAAGAAAACAAAAATATTCACAATTGGACTAATAAATAACATCATTATAAATGGAGAAAAGATTGAAGTTGTCAAGGATTTCATTTTACTTGGATCTCCAATCAACACCTATGGAAGCAGCAGTCAGGAAATCAAACAATGCATTTTATTGCATTGGGCAAATCTGCTGCCAAAAGACCTCTTTGGAGTATTAAAAAGCGAAGATGTCACTAACACTCAGATACTCCTGGTCCAAGTCATGTTATTTTCAATTACCTCATATGTATGTGGAAGCTAGACAATGAATAAAGAAGACCAAATAAGAATCATGAATTATGGTGTTGATGAAGAATACTGAATATACCATGGACCGCCAGAAGAACGAACACATTGTGTTGGAGGAAGAATACCAGAATGCTCCTTAGAAGCGAGTTTGGTGAGATTACATCTTATGTACTTTGGATATCTTGCCAGGAGGAACCAATCCCAGGAGAAAAACAAAATACTTAGTAAAGTGAAGGGGTCAGTGAAAAAGAGGAAGATCTTCATTGAGATGAATTCATAGCATGCCTGCAACAGTAGGCCCAAACATGACAGCAGTTTGGAGTATGGTGCAGGACTGGGCAGGATTTTGTTCTATTGTACATAGGATTGCTATGAGTTGAAACTGATTTGATGGTATTTAACTATAACAAGCAACAAACAGATCAGCCCTCCTGTCTAGACACCATGGAAGACATGGTCAAGTACAAACCAGTTTTTTTTCCCTCAGGGGGCTTCTAGCTGGACTAGTATGTAAGACACAAACCCACACCCACTTCCATTGAGTCAGTTCTGACTCATAACAACCCTGTGTAGGGTTTCCAAAGCTGTAAGTCTTTACAGGAGCAGAAAGCCTCATCTTTTGTCTGCAGAAAGTTTGGTGGGTTTGGACTGCCAAACTGGCAGTTAGCCGTCCAGTTCTTACCTTACAGTGCCATCAGAGCTCTCTTATGTAAGTCAGAACCTGAAACAATCCACAGTACAAGTCTGTCTGTAACAAGTGTTCACTAAATGAGGCTTTTAGGGAATAAAAATGACATGATTGGGAAGAAGTAGGGCAAGATTTGCAGTTCAAATCTACCGGCTCTTCTGCAGGAGAAAGATGAGGCTTTCTGGTCCCACAAAGATTGACAGCCTCAGAAACCCTATATAGGGTTGCTATGTGTTGGACCTGACTGGATGGCAATGGACCTGGAGTTCTGGTATAAAGAAGGGTATGAGTTTATTATGTGGACCCTTGTTTTTGGAATAAAGAGCTTTAAAAAGTTCTCAATACTCAAAAAGAGAAGGAAAAAGGTCTCAGCAGAATTACATGCTTTTTGTTTTAGAAAAATGTATGAACCACTGACATGCTGGACAACAAATAGGGAAAAGGATCGAAAGTATCAGAAACTATGCTTCATAAATATGCATAGTTTGCACAATTCAAATATACATATTTGTTGAAGAAACATACACACCCTCCAATTTTGGGACAGCAAACAAATCAGCATAATAAGTGGTTCTTTCTGGTCATTTAATTGACTATAAATCTCAAGCATATACTGGAGCAGTAATCAATGTTCTTTAAATCAGTTTTTAAAAATCAATATTTATGAAACATATATATGAGTGGATGAATAGTGAAACTAAGCTCCTTTGTTGAGTTGGACACTCATATTTTATTGCTGTTGGCAATACTGCCTTTGCTACAATCCTGTGGTTCATTCTGGGAAAGGATGTATTCTGTTGTCTTTTATACTAGTCAGACTTGTCCTAAACTCAGTACTTTAGTGAATATGATCTGGCTCTCACATCCAGTATCCTATTAATTACCTACTGCTTTATTCAGTTCCTTTACTTCCTTATTTCTTCCATCCCTTGTTTCTTTCATTTGCTTTAGCATCTCTACGTTGGAGAGCAAGTTTCAGTGCCTTTTCTAACATCCATTTTGGTCTTTTCTTTCTTTCTTGTCTTTATAATCTTTCTGTATGATGCTCTTGATGTCATGTACAGCTCTTCTGGTCTTTGGTCATTAGTATCTAAGGCATCAGATCTGCTGGGATATGTTCAAGGTAATATTTTGGCTCTCATAAACTTGTTTTAATATTTTTCATCTTCAGCTTGAGCTTGCAACTGAGCAATTAGTGGTCTGTTCCAGAATCAGCCCCTGGGCCTTTTTTTTTTTTTTTTGACTGATGATATTGAGCTTTCCCAAGGTTTCTTCCTATATATGTAGTTAATTTAATTCCTGTGTGTCCCATCTGGTGAGGTCCATGTGTATACTTGACTTTTATGTTGTTTTAAAAAGGTAATTTTGACGTCTGGCAAGATGGTGGACTAGGCAGAAGCAATAAATGGACCCTCTACAACAAAGACATGAAAGACAAAACAGACACAGATGAAAATTCTAGCACCCTGAACTTAAAAAAAAAAAAAAAGGTTAGAGAGGTGGGTGGAGTGCTTGCTGGGAGAACAGGCCGAGCAGAGATGTTAAAAAAGAGGGTGATGACAGGTGAATGACTAGACAGACACCGTTCAACGATCCTGTGAGCAGCTTTGGCAGTGGAGGGAGGACTGGCAGAGCAGATTCATGCAGGTGATGGAAAAGGTACACTGTTTGTTTTCACAAATATAATAACTCACAACATCCTAGAGACAACAGACAATTTTTAACTCATGCAAAAAAATGAGAGAGAATGACTCAAACAAATGACTAAGATGCAGAGTCAGAAAATGATTTTGAGGAAGAAAAGGTAATAGAATAAACTGAGAAAGAATCAAAATTGTATACCTTCAAAGGATACATAAAAAGATCAAGGAAAGCAAGGATAACACAATAAAAACTTTAGAAGAATTCAGGAAAACACTACAAGAATAAACAGACAAAATAAATACATAATTTAAAATAATACAAAACCTGCAATTAGAAATCCAGAAGATGAATGCTAAGATCTCAGAATTGGACAATACACTGAAAGGGCAAAGGAGTAGATGTGAAGCAACAGAAGCCCAAATTAGTGAGCTTGAAGATCAGTCTCCATACTAATATGTTAGAAGAACAATCAGAAAAAAAGAATGAAAAAATCTGGAGAAAGCCTAAGAGTTATGCAGGACATTATGAAGAGGAACAACTTGTGGGTGATCAGAATTCCAGAAATGAAAGAAACAAGCACAGAGAAAATTGTCAAGGAGTTGTTGGAAGAAAATTTCCCTACCGTCATGAAAGACAAGAAGATAAGCATACAAGAAACTGAATGATCCCCAAATAGAACAGATCCCCAAAGAAAATCACCAAGATATATCAGAATCAAACTTTCCAAAATCAAAGACAAGGAAAGAATTCTGAGAGCAGCTCAGGAAAAATGAAAAGTTATCTATAAAGGAGAACCAATAAGACTAAGCTTTGATTTCTCAGCAGAAACCATGCAGGCAAGAAGATAATACAATGACATATATAAAATGCTGAAAGACAAAGATTACCAACCAAGAATCATATACCCAGCAAAGCTGTCATTCAAATATGATGGCAAAATTAAGGCATTTCCTGATAAACAGAAATGAAAAGAATCTGTGTTGACCAGACCAACTTTACAAAATGTTAAAATGCGATCTTTGGAATGAGAACGAACAACAGCAGACAACAACCTGAGATTACCATACACCCATGAAATTTTGTGAGTGGAAAGCGCTTTACTCTTCCTTTTCATACCTGAACTCAGGTCTTGCTAAATATGAGTGTGAAGGGCTTAGTAAAAACACATAAAGCCTCAGACAGTTAGGATTTCATAAATTGATTATTTTTACCTATAAAAATGCACTGAAATCCTGAGTCCCATCCAGAACCTTCTGAGGCTGGACATTCCCACTAGAAAGACAAGCAGACCAGCCTGGAACAGCTAGAGTGATACATCTTCAAAGAAAGATCATCAGGAAAAACCCAAA